ATTGCCATAATAGATTTGGACTAAGTCAAAGGATTAATGACACAGGAACAATCAGAGGATTAAAAGGCAGAAACCTCTCAAATGAACCCTTGAAGCTGTAGATGACCAGGAGGTCCCCTACATGCCCGCGTTTGTATGCATGCACGGACGCCATGCGGGCGCGGGCGGCCCGTCGATCCGGCGACAGGCGAGATAGATACCGAGCTATCTTTTTGCTGCGCTAGCTGCTCATCCATGGCATGCGCCGGTCAAATCCCAGCCGCATTTGCCACACCTCAGTGGCGGCAGCACGCAGCCCCACCGTACGTTCAAGTCGATCGATCCTGTAGATCCCCCGGCCGACCAGCATTCTTCAGTCTCGGTTAAAATGTTGATCAAACTTTGAATGTACAATTTGCACACTTAAATTCCTGGAATGCTTATTCATACGAGCTATAGGATTATTGGTATTCGTCAGTATTCGCAACATGGCGTGGAGCTCAATGTCTTGCTTGTAATAATAGCACAAGGGGAGGTCTGCGTGAAATTTTTGTATTTTAGTCCCTTTTGAAAACATTTTTTACAAAAAGACCTACGTCAAAACGTTTTCTGAAAATAGACCATTTTAGGCGTCTTAGAACATGACGCCGAGGTATGGGGGTCGGCGTCGACTGACACGACGCCGAGCTATTGCCACGTCACGGACGACCGGGGTCGTCGGCGACACGGTGGCGCGTGGGGTCCGAGACGTCGGCGTCGTGTCAGCAAACGCCAAGGGCCCAACCTCGGCGTGGCTGGACTGCGCGCCGAGCTATTGGCCCCATCCGGCGCGCGGCCCAGGCGGCCCAACAACGCACGGTGGCCCAGTAGCTCGGCGCGGGGTCACTTAACGCCGAGTCACAGATCTCGGCGCGGCCCGACTCAACGCCGAGGTCTGGTCCCTTGAGGCCGCACCGAGGCCCCCTTCTTCTTCCTCCCTCCATTCTGAAGACCGCCGGCTCCCAAATCCCCCACGGCCCCCACGAAACTCTAACCCCCAAATGCGACTCTAGGTGCCCGGATCTTGTCTCCCGAAGCTTCCTCGAGGTAATGGTCCCTTCCCTCCTCCAATCTATCCGCGTAGATGTGCTTGCATTGTCTCTAATCATGTGGAATCATGGATGTATGGTGTTTTGGTATATGTGTGTTTGCATTTGCAAAATGTATGGCTTAGGATGATTGAGTGCATTGTTGTTTAACTGTTTTATGTGTTGAACATGTTAGGTTAGTTTGGTTTCTAGTTATTTTGGTCATTAGGGTTCTTTGTTTATTGTAGGTGTCATTAGGGTTAGTTATTTGTTGGTCATTAGGGTTAGTATGTATTTTATTTATTTGTTGGTCATTACATTTCAATTTTTTATGATCAAGGCGTTTTGCCAAGGTACTCCTCTTTCCCCTCTTTCATTTCATCTATTTAGATTCGGTTGTTTTTGAACTTGGCATTATAGGTTTGGTTCATGTTCATGTCATTCGTGCAATGTATGGTGGTTCAAATGATTGAATGACCTAAATGTATGGTTGTTGTTGTTGTTGTATATGTTCTGGTTTATAATCATTGAGTTAAATTTTGTGTTTGTTGGGACTCAAATTTGCTTAGGGTTTGTAATGAAAAGCTTATTTGGGAGGTATGGTGATTTAGTGTTAGTAGCTTTACATTCGTTGCAAAGATACTTTGGATTGATTTTTTTTCTACGTAATGTTAGGATGCCAAGGCGTGGTAAAGCTCGTATTCCAAGGTAATCCTAATGTTTATTCATTATTTGTGCAACAAATAGAAAACCCTAGGTTTAGGTTTGGTTCTCCGTTAATATGACTAAATTCTTTCAACTGTACCTATGGTCGCCAGAGGGCAAATCCCTACGACCTAAAGCCTCTCCCTAAATGTGTTCCTCGACCAATGTGCTTTTGTGGTGATCCTTGCAAGGTAGACATCTCTGAAGATGAGGAAACATATAGACAGAGGTACTGGATGTGTCCCAATTATGCATGGGAACCTACAAAGCAACAACGCTGTGCATCGTTTGTGAGGAATTTTTATTGTGTGTTAATTAATTTTCTTGTGATATTAAGTATTGCTTATTTATTTATTTATTTATTTTGTAACAATTTATTTTTCTTGCAGACCGTTCCACCACTGTATGACTTTGAGCAGTGGATTGACACTGAGATCAAGGAGTCGGACAAGCAGCATCTAGAAGGCCTGAAGGAGTGGGATGCGGAGGATAAGGAGAGGTTTGAGTAGAGACGCAGACAGGAGGCTATAGAAAAGGAGCATAAGGAAGAGGAGGAAAGGAGGCGTGTTGCTGCGTACAGGGCGGAGAGGGAGAAGAAGCTTGAGCGTGTGCGCCGAGCGAAGGCAGCGATGGAGGAGAATCCCAATGCCTAGAGGAAGGGAAAGTGGCCTCGTTGCACTCGGTGAGGTATTTGGTTTATTCACGCGATGTCGTAGCCCTAGACTTTTTTTACTATGTTGTTGTAATGCACTCGCTGCTTTTATTTGAGATGAACTTATTCCCCTCGGACTTTTTTTTATTATGTTGTAATGCACTATGCTTTTATTTGAGATGGTCTTATGCCCCTGTATTTCGTTAACTATCCTAAGACTGTAGTGCTACTGTTTGTATCACTGAAAAGGCTACTTGTGCTGTTGCAGTCACTGAAAGGGCTACAAGTACTGTTGCAGTCAATGAAAAGTCTAGATTCGTTTATTGTTGTATCCGTATACACAGTGAATTAATATCAGAGTGATGTACTGCATTTAGATGAAGTGACAAAACACAAGTGTAGCCTTTTCAGATGAAATGACCAGTCATGGTTGTAGGCTTTTCAGATGAAGCATCTAGCCTTTGCAGATTCAATAAATGAGTACGCACACAGGTTTTTTGTCAAGTAGCATTCATGGTGAACCTACCTTCATCTATATATATAGTGGTCCATGTCTTGCTCCACATCTACACAACTTGTTTTCTGGTATAGTTTTAGCAAATGTCGAAAGCGGAGGTTCCTTGAGTGGAAAGGGTTTCATGGAAGGAGAGGAAAGGGGTGAGGAAGGACCTCCGATTGTGTGGGAGTGTTCTCTGGGTCTGATTCTTTTGAAGAACCAATAGAGGAATTTCCTTTGAGAGGAAGAGTGACTTCACCCTTGAGAGACCTCTTAGATCATATGACAAGCGCATTGAAGATTGCAAAAAAATCTCGCCACGGTTTGGATTGCGCAGTGATGTACAATGACTGTGTGAAGGTGGAGGCCGTCATTTCTTCAGATGCCCACGAGGATTTGTATTTCCTTTGAACTCTCTCTTTTTTAGATTTGCATTTGGTTTCTAGTAGTACTTATTGGTAGATTGGTTTTCAAGATTCAAGCTGTCCAGATAAATCGTGGCTTCACTAGATGGGTCGACCCTCCTCCTATCTATCCCCATCAGCAAAGACATCACATATCTCTGTGGGCACATCTTTGACCGGAGTATGGCCCTAGAAGAAGTGGTAATGGGACAAGTCGGACGACGACAACGACAATGATGCAGAGGAGGCACTATGCAATAATCCAGATTGCCGATTGCCTGCGTACCATAAGAAGCACTGGCCTCCTTCTCCACCGCCACCGCCACCCGCCATTGTCAACCTGGAGGATACTATGGGAAGGTGCAACTCAGTTCAATATGTGGGAGCATTATTAGGACCAACCTTTGTTAGTCAATCCAAATGTGGAATGCTTGTATGAGTTGTTCTTTTCAATCTCCTAAGGCATGCTAGGTTTAGTTTGCAACATGCCATTGTTAGTTTTCATGTGAGTGTGTACCCTTTGCAATGTCTCAGATCACTTGTTTCTTTCAATCCCCTAAGGCATGCTAGGTTTAGTTTGCGACATGCCATTGTTAGTTTTGATGTGAGTGTAATCGTTGTGCATTCGCTATTTCATAAATTGCAGTTTACCTACCTCTAGGTTTCATGTACTATGGTTGATTCCCAAACTGAAAAAAAGATTTGACTCTCTCTAAAAATAGGGGATTGAAATCGAACCAACATTCGCTTTTTCCTGTAGGAACAAACATACAAACATAAATATAGCATGCCTACTCTTATTAGTATAACTCGTGTTAGTAGAAGAGGAATCGTTGAGAAAGATTTTTCATTTGAATCATGCAAATAGGATTGCAACCTATACCAAAGGTTTAGAAGACCTCTGTCTTTAATACTTTATTCTTTCTATTTTATGATTCATAGGCTCGGCGTCAAGTCGGACCACGCCAACCCTAGGGTTTGGCTCGGCCGTTTACGTGTTGGGCCGAGGCTCGGCGTCGAGTCGGCCCACGCCAACCCTAGGGATTGGCTCGGCTGTGTATGAGTTGGGCTGAGGCTCGGCGTCGAGTTGGCCCACGCCAACCCTAGGGATCACAACGGTCGGCGCCAGGTTTGGGCCGAACCTCGGCGCTTAGTCGGCCCACGCTGAGGTTAATGTCTCGGCGTCAATTTACGGCACGCCGAGCTTGGGCACCTCGGCGCTTCGAGACAAAGGATTCCAGTATGCACCAGTGATCGGCGTCAAATGACTAAACGCCGAGGTGCCCAACCTCGGCGTGTGTTCAATTGACGCCGAGCTCCTGGGTTCACCAAAAAATAGAATACACAGAATTTCATATAACAAATGACCACACCGACATACACATTCATTCAACATCCATACATACATAAGGTCCAACACATTCAACATCCAACATAGTCCAACACATTCAACATCCAACATAGTCCATACATATGCTTCATCAATCAACCAACATAGTCCAAACATAGTACAAGGTCCATACATAGTGCATTACATAAGGTCCAATGCATACATAGTCCATGCACAAAATATAGCATATGAAGTCTTTGGATCTTTTATTGCTCCTTGTACCTTAACGTGGACGGCGAGCATAACGCTTTCCCCTCCCAAACGGATAGGTACCTGGAGTGTACCTGTCCACTGGTCTGAGCGTCCTCTATGGACGTCCAGAACCGGAGGGCCCTTGAGTTCCTTGGGGTGCATCTCCAAGCTGGGACATGCCAATCTCATCATACTCATGATCATAGTACTCTCCCTGTCCTTCATCATCTTCATCATCATAATGACCATGTCCTTGACCACCCTCTGCACTAGTTGCTGCACCATGTGAAGAAGAGGTCCTGCCACCATGTGCACCATGTGAAGATGAAGTCCCTCCAACATGTGCAGTAGAAGGTCCAGCAACAAGCTGTTGTGGGACTGCCACATCCGGGGAACGTCTAAATCTAAGGCGTGCAGCTACCTTTCGTAGGCGATGCATGGCACGCTGCATTTTCAAAGCACTATTAGTAAGTGGGGTTAGTCGCAAAACTATATAAAGATGTAACATCAACTGAATGAGAGGAGACTACCTGAATGTGCTGTCGTAACATGGAGGCCTCATCAGGATCGCCCACAGGAATCATCAATGCCCTTCCTTGCTCGGCCACTGTCCTCATTATCTCCGTGCTCTATGCAACAAAAACAAGAATTTAAGTCTCCGTCACAGTAAAGACCTCAGAGATGGAAATAGTTGTATCACTTACAGCTCTGGGCCACCGTGCGTTGTTGGGCCGCCTGGGCCGCGCGCCGGATGGGGCCAATAGCTCGGCGCGCAGTCCAGCCACGCCGAGGTTGGGCCCTTGGCGTTTGCTGACACGACGCCGACGTCTCGGACCCCACGCGCCACCGTGTCGCCGACGACCCCGGTCGTCCGTGACGTGGCAATAGCTCGGCGTCGTGTCAGTCGACGCTGACCCCCATACCTCGACGTCATGTTCTAAGACGCCTAAAATGGTCTATTTTCAAAAAACGTTTTGACGTAGGTCTTTTTATAAAAATTATTTTCAAAGGGACCAAAATACAAAACTTTCACGAGGTCTGCATGCAGTTCGATCGCATTCAGCCTTGCAGGGTTACTTCTGGTAAAAACCCTGCTATACGAGTATACGCAATGCAAATTGGTTTGGCACAATCTCACCCACAAGTTGGTTGAGATAAAAGCTGAATCAGGCATGTACTCTTTTTTCTTATAATAGAACACTTTATTAAAAACTCCAAAGATAATGATACATAGTCTTGGACGCACTACTTCCGCCTCTGCCTGACAAGAAGCATACAGCTAATAAAACAAAATAGATCACACACACCCTATTAGTGACTATGAATCCGTAGACCAGACCGTCACTCATGTACCTAAGAGGAAAAAATACTGTAGCCACCTGCATCAATTGTCACGAGGCCTTAGCTTCACAACCAAAAACTTATAAATCCGGCTTCTAGAGGATGGACCGAGCCAGTGGAAAAACTGCAAAGATAAACAAATGGATCAACAAGTAGTTGCAACCCCTAGCAACCACTACAGGAAACTGGATCTTTGCCGAGTGCGTAGAGGTTTGCCGAGTGGCAAAAATCGGACACTCGGCAAAGAGACACTTTGCCGAGCGCTAAACCCAGCACTCGGCAAAGGACGATTTGCCGAGTGCCTGACTCTCGACAAACTCAGCCACTCGGCAAAGAAGTTCTTTGCCGAGTGCCGAGCTCTCGGCAAACATGGGCACTCGGCAAAGAGTGCCAGGGGGCAAACGACATCCATGGCCGTCACCTTTGCCGAATGCCTGCCGTTAGGCACTTGGCAAAGAGCTGCCACGTGGCAGGCTCTGGGGCCACCAGGCCGGCTGGATTTTGCCGAGTGCCATGTGGACGGCACTCGGCAAACGACCTCTTTGCCGAGTGCCAGCCCTAGCACTCGGCAAAAATATTTTTTTTTTATTTTGGCCACCAGTTTTGTTGTGAAGCATTCCTACAGTACCATGATCAACATGTTCAAATTTGACACATTTTTAGTACATTTTGCTATATTTTTCACTTTATTTCGATTTGTTGAATTTTTTCTAGAAAATATAGGTTTCAACTGTGGGTGCATCGAATATTCGATTTGAATGATTCAAAAAATGATATTCTTGTTTTTTAGTGTAAAGTTAGGCCAAATCCATGAACTGACCTAAAATTTTGATCAACGTGCACACGGGGCAACGCCACCATCTTCCGTGCGGGCGGTTTTTTAATTCTAAAAAATTCAAACGAATTCCGAAAATCGCGAAACTTGTCGAGATGTCATGATATCGTATGCGTTGCTGTGGTCAAAATTTGAAAAAGTTTCGAGCACGGTGCACGTACGATGTTCACAAACTAGTACATCCCCACATGTGATATCAACGCGAGCGTCTACCCCAAGCTTGCCGAGTACACCTCTGCGCCTCGCACGCGCCATGGGGAGGACTTCGATCCGGCTACCCAGCCCCTGGATACGGACCTCGTGATGAGGTTGGGAGGAGGAAGAAGACCTTTACCGGTCTTGGATGGCCAACATCGCAATCGAGTCGTCCTCTGTTCCCAGACTGAGCCAGATTCGACAAACCACGACGAGCTCCTCCGACATCCCCATAGCACCTCGTCAGCCGAGCTCCACGCAGACGATGGCGGCATTTCAGGTAAGTACAGTTTTATTCGTCGTTCACTGGTTTTACACATGTACCTGGCCTTTGCATTGTTTAAACCTTGCGGTTGTAATATTGCAGCCCAAATTGGCAGAGTTGCGCAGCCCAATGAGATGGCCCAAAGGAGGCCCATCAATGACACCGGAGGTCTGTCCGGCAGCAGATCGGCGCGGCCACCGGAGGCTGTCCAACAAGACTTTCAGCGCGTCACCGCAGGACGCATGGCGACCTACTTTCAAGGCCTTCAGATCCCGGGTTTGGTCCCGCCTCCGTTGCCTCCCCTCCTGCTTCGCTTCTCCACCCCTCCTCCTAGTCCCACAGAGGACTCCGGTGAGTATATATGGTTGTTTATTGCTTTAGCTAGTGCGGCCATCCTACATGTACTAATGAGATCGCTTCTTCTTTGTGCAGGCACAGTCGGCGGGTTCGAACCCGACTCCTCCAGGTGGCCCTTCTCCACAGCACGGGTGGCCGGTTGGCACGGTTGGCCCGACTCCACAAAGACACGTGGCGGTGTATTCCTCTCCGCTCACGCACGCAGCACGGGTACTCGGGTGGACAGGCGGCCATCTTCCGCCGCCCGGGTGGACGTTCCAGGGTGGCCCTCCGCAGCAAGGGTGGCCTTCGTGGCCATCTGGGAGCTCTTCACACTCTGGGGGGCCATGGGGTCCAAGGGGCGCAGCAGGTACCTCTCATTTCGCTTTTGGACTTGTGATGGTTATGTTGGACTAGTGATGGATTGGCTTCTATGAGGGTTATGTTGGACTAGTGATGGATTTGTATGGATGTACTTGTGATGGATGGATGGATTTGTTACGGATGAACTTGTGGATGGATTTGTGTTGAATTGTATGGATGGAATGTGATATATATGTGATATTGTATGGATTTGTGTTGAATATATGTGATATTGCATAGATGGAATGTGAAAAAAACTGAAAAAAAAAATTACCCAGTTTTGTCGAGTGCAAACACTCGGCAAAGCTGGGGAAGTTTTTCCCAGCACAACAGCTTTGCCGAGTGCTGACACGGCACTCAGCAAAGTGACCATAAGTTTGCCGAGTGTCAGCACTCGGCAAAGATTGTTTCCAAAAAAAATTTACTTTGTCGAGTGCCTGTCCGAACGGCATTCGGCAAATATTATTTTTTTTAAAAAAAATAAAAACTCTTTGCCGAGTGCCTGCCACGTCAGCACTCGGCAAAGAAACCGACAGATGACGGTGGACGCTAACTTTTCCGAGTGCTGACATGACACTCGGCAAAGGCTTTGCCGAGTGCCCGACAGGTGACACTCAGCAAAGAATTCTTTGCCGAGTGCGGTACTCGGCAAAGCCTTTGCCGAGTGTAAAGCGGGCTTTGCCGGCAAAGAACCAGAATCCTGCAGTGAACACTAGTGGTTTCACATCTTTGGCTAACCCTGTTAAGTGTTAACCACCTACCGAACATATGTGGCATGGAACGAGGCTGTGTTAGTCAAACAGCGAATTGAGTTGTTCCAAACGGCCCGTGCAACTCGGCATTGAAAAAACAAGTATCTAGTTGTCTCATCTTTGTGACATAAGGAGCATGTCTTCTTTCTTGCCGGTTGCACTTAACTAAATTATCTATGGTCAAAACAACTCCCATATATAGGTACCACAGAAAAACAATTTTAGTAGGGCTTTCATTTCCCACAAACTTATGCTTAAGTTGGGTACATAATATTGGACCATGGCTTGATAATGTGATTTCGCCAAGAATTGACCGTTTGGGTGTAGATTCCAATAAAACACATCATGATCTTACGCCAATGTGGTAATAAATTATTCTAGGCTACTGACTTCTGAGTTCTGACCAATGAGATCTCTAGGTTCGGAGGGAAGGAACTGAGGACATTTAAAATGGTGATGAATTTAGGTCTTGCTATGTTGTAATGGAAAGGGTATTGATCCGTTAGTGTAGCATTACTCAACTACTTATCCTCCCAGAACTTCACCTAAGATCCATCTTTAATAATGAAGCATCTAAAGCGAATAAAGTCCTGCTTCACCTTCATAAGACTGGACTAAAATGTGAGTTATTTGGTTTCAATTTAACTTGCCAAATACCATCCTCTCCTCTGTGGGAAACTTCAAGAGCCATTTACTCAAAAGGGTGATGTTTAGATCATGAATCCCTAGACTTTCTTGATCTTTTGATTGGCACAGGATGTTCCACTTTGCAAGGCAATATTCTTACATACTACAGTACGTTCATCACCCTGCCAAAAGACACGTACAGTGCCGAAAGCGTTGACAAGACGTGGATGCACGCACGCACGCCGCACGGACATGCAGGTGCAGGGCCTGCGTAAAGGATCATGCATGCAGGGGCGCTGGGCTGCCAAGGCTGGGACTGGGAGGGCATGATGAGCCGTATGATCCGCTTGTTTTCGCCTTGCATGCAATGATGTGTCTGCCGGTCTCCTGGGCACTTGAGCTACTAGCTTCACGCCATGCTTTGTGCAGTGCTGCTCCCCTCCGGCCCGCCCTTCCCAGTATTTTCTGTTCCTGCTGTGTGCGTGTGTATGCGCGTTTGGAAGGAACACATGAGGATGCTGAGCGTCCATGCCGGTGCCGGCCTTCACCTCTCCTCTCTGCTGCCGCTGTGCTCATGCTGGCCTGCCTGCACTGGGCGCTGGACACTGGGCGCACTGGACCAAGATCGACCAGCAGATCGATCCGCTTGCATGCCAATTAACGGGCGCCGTTGCAGTGCAGTAGGCAGTAGCATCACTCCGCGTGGTGCATGTACCGTCGCCACAGTGCAGTAGGCAGTAGCATCACTCCGCGTGGTGCGTGAACCGTGGCAACCAGTGGCGAATCTAGCCGAGAACATCATTGAATCATAGGAATCAACTTCATTACATGATATATGATTTTTCTTAAGCTACTATAGAATTTACAAATTTGGTCGAAGTCGACGGATCCAGATGAACTCCTCCATATCCGCCTCTAGTCGCAATGCAAAGGCCAGTACTGGTGTGGACGTAAATATACACTAATTTTTTTCTCGAATACATAAAATATTTGGATATCTTTATAATTAAGGTAGAAATATTTTATACAAACAACGCGCTTCTGCAAGCGCCTTAGGAGGTATACAGGATTATAGTCGTGGGGTGGACTATCCTAGCATATAGATTTTGATATTACACAAATGATAAACAACCAGAATAAGGGTAGCGACACAACCTAGGAAGAGGGCTCGCGCTTCCGTTGCGGCTGGCGCGACTCATTCTCGACGTCGTGGAAGAGCGCTTCGACATTGGAAGTGTTGGGCTCGGCTATTTAAGAGCGCCTCGTAGGCCTTTTTCGATGATTCGCTTGGCGTTGATAGACCCGTGACCAAACCCAAACGCTGCATGATTAAGATCTCACCTTGCTTGAAGCAGACACCCCGTTTGGAAGCATATAGTATTTTAACTGATGATAGATAAGATATTAGCTGGTTTATTAGCTAAGGATCCAAACATAATCTCAAATGGAAATGTTGTGCCCCACCCGTTCATGGCCCACGACACCAGCCCAACGGCCCAACGGTCATATCCTCTTCGACACTCGGACGCTTCCGTTCTTCAGAAGGCTTCCAACACTCGAACGCTCCTGTTCCGCAGCGCCGTGACCGCACTCCGCCGCGCCACCTCGGCGTTCTCCATGACATCTGAGTGCTCGCCAAGGCTGGCATCTCCACCGCGCCCGAGTGCGGCTACCCGTCTTCCTCCATTTCCATCACGCCTCTAGCCCGTCGCGCCCTTCTCCAGCGCGCGGACGGCTTCTTCTCCACCGGAGCGATGCAGCTCGTGCTAGATCTGTCGCGGCCTTGTCCACTGGACCTGTCGTGGCCTTCTCCACCGGAGTGGCGAACTCTACACCGGTGAACTGCACACGCCGACGACCCTCCATTTCCAAGCAGCAAGGAGTTGTTGCGATGAAAGCGCATGTTGCAAACGTATGTTTCAGGTGTTTCATATGTTTCAGAGGTATGTTGCAAGTGTTCGTATCGCTGTTGCAAAAGTAGATCGAGATATTGCAAAAGCAGATCGGAATGTTGCAATGGCTATGCATGTATGAAGTGTATGTTGTAAATATTTCATGTGTATCAGACGTATGTTGTAAGTGTTTTGATCTGGATTTTGCAAAAGTATATTTAGATGTTGCATATACATACATGTTGTAAGCGCATGTTTCAAGTGTTTCGGTGTTTCATAAATACATTTGTAAGTGTTTCATCTAGAAGTTGCACATGTTTGCAATGGTTTTAAGTGTTTTAGGTGTTTTTGCAAGTGTTTCAGACGCATGTTTTAAGTGTTTCACATGTCTCTCTTTTTATATGTTTCAATTGTTGTATCTGGATATTTCAAAAGTAGATCGGGTGTTGCATATGGGAAGCGGCGTGGATGTGGGCTGACAAAAGTGGCGACGTCCGAGGCCAAAGCGTGCTTGGGCCCTGCTGCTAGGGCGCTCTAGCAAGTCCCAATCTCAAATATTTTTTAGTAGCTAACTGTTAGCTGCATGAGATCCAAATACTTCCATAATAATCGGCTTGCTAATTACTACTAGGGTACCTTATTTTCCTATATATACGGTACATGCGTATAGTGATGACCAAATGGATGAAGACTTGTAAGATTGTCTCCAACCGCCTAGGTATACCACTACCCATACCCAAAATGCATCATGCATAGGGAAAAATGGCCTCCAACAGAGTAGGCAAACACAGCACCTATTTTGCGTGAGAGAGAGAAACCCAAATTAGCGCCTCTCTCCATCGTGACCAAATCTGGAGGCCCTCATCGTCGCTGGGAGAGGAGGCGCAGCCATGGCGGTGGCGCCATCGTGGTTGAAGGAGGACGGACGCCGCCACCAGATCTGGCACCTAGAAGCCACGAGCCACCGTCCCCAGTACCCGTTGGTGGCCGCGCCGCCGCCCAGAGGCCGTCGCCATCGGTGACGAAGGGGACGGGCCTTGTGGTGGATCCGCGAGGGGAGTTGGAGGGGCGACCGCCGTCGCTGCCAGGAAGGTGTACAGGCCGCCTCCTCGACGGGAAGGACCCGGGGGACCGCGGGGCCGTCAATCCGCCGGAGCTGGAGGCGACGGGCCGGGGGCGCTTTGCCGAGGACACGAGGTCGCCGACAAAAGGCAGAGGTGGGAGCGAGGGAGGAGGCCGGCGCGGGGTCGAGGATAGGAGCGACCGTGGCCGGGGTGCCCAAGGTGGCGGACTCGTCGGAGATTGGGATGGGGGCGATGAAGTCGGGGCTCGCGATGGAGTATGCGTCGGCTGTTGGAAAAGTAGAGTTTTTGGTCACGCACATTTTTGCCGTACGCTACCCAAACCGTCCAATGCGTCTCGCGTATGGGTTCGGACTGTTGGAGACAGTCAGCAATAATATTTGTTCCTCTTCTCTCGATCCACCTCCGCATGACTTTTCTTGCCTGAGCCATTTGAGGATAAAAGTAAGAACAGTGATCATTCGTCAAACTGGACGAATGTTTTCCTTGTCTCTGCCCCCAGTACAATCATAGCGTTGACTGCCAGCCCTTTCTGGCATGGCCGTTGTGCCGTCGCTGTCGTCGTTAGGAGACCAAGGATTGTTCGAGGGTCAAAGTTAATTAGGCCCCGTTTAGATTTCAAAAAAATTTGCACAGCACCTGTCACATCGAATCTTGCGGTACATGCATGGAGTACTAAATGTAGACGAAAAAAAAACTAATTGCACAGTTGGGTGAGAAATCGCGAGACGAAACTTTTGAACATAATTAGTCCATAATTAGACACTAATTGTCAAATACAAACAAAAGTGCTACAGTAGCCAAAATCCAAAATTTTTTGATCTAAACGGAGCCTTAGTTGGATCCAAAAGCCGGAATTACAAATCGTGCATGTACGTTCATGTAGAGTTGCAGTAAAGCGAGATCGAAGAGAGCACTTTGACGAACGGGAACAGACCGCATGCACGAAGGAGAAGACGAAGCACGACCGCAAGACCATGCGTAGCACGGTAACAGCACTCTACGCACGGACACGTGTCACGAATCCACGGTAGATGTGTCCCCCCCGCTGAGCGGACACCGGAGGGAGGAGCATGATGGCACGGGGGGCGCGCGGAGGCCGGCCTGAGCGCAGCACAGCAGCGTCTCTGAGGCGAGAGGAATGGATACCAACGCAACGCAGGCCGAAATCTGGGCTGGCATGCCGTGGTCCGCGCCCCACGACCATGATTCTGTCTCCCCACGGTGGACCTGCCCAACACTACCTCCGTCCGTGCCTCCCTGTGTAGGGTTTAGCCGTTTAGGCGAGTACGACAGCTGCCTGCCTGATGGAGCCCCTGCCTGCACTGGACGGAATGTAATAGTAGCATAGGAGCTCACTGCTCAGCAGGTAGGGAGGAGGAGGACCCATGCATGTTTTCTCCGTGCCCATCATCATTCCCCTGCCCCCCCGCACGGCCGCCGCAGCACCCATTCCCATCTCCCCAACTCCAGCAAAGCCCGCGGTGTGCTACTACACGGCTAGGCCACGAACGTTGCACATGCATTGCTGCCTGCCTGGGTGCCTCTGCATCCTAGCGTAACTGGCCACCTGTAACAAGGAAAAGCAGCCGCGTGCATGCATGCCAGCCACGCGCGGCGCGGCGTAGCCGGCAGGCCGCACGGACCACTGCCCGTACTCTCCTCCTGCACGGCCTGCCTCATCGTCACGGGCAGCGCCGTCGTCACTGCGCTGACCTGCGGCCGGGCCGGCTCACCCACCGCCGTCGCCGTCGTCGTCCCGTTCGGCCTCTCGTCGCTGCTGTTCGGCCACTCCCCCAGCCAGCCAACGCGCGCTGCCAGGATACAACAGGGATGCGACCAATGTGCACAGCACACCAGCTGGGGGATGAATGAACAGGAGTACAGGACGGACGACAAAACTTGTCAATTTCGGCACCCAGATTCGACACAGGCTAGTACGTAACTGTGGGTTGCACTGTTTTTTTTTTTTTTTGTTGCCTCTCATCTTGTTATAGCGGGTTGCACTGAACTTTTTTTTTAATAGCTGTAGCATCTGTTCGTACACACGCGCGTTCACACAACACACGCACACTAGTCACACCATCCATGTACAAACAAACTTATAGATACACTCAGATCTGAAGACCCCATTCTTTTTTGAGATCAGCGAAATCCACTGATTTCGTAGGCGACGGATACATCACGATCCCATTGTGGGATCACGTGAGAAGCAGACGCTTGGAAATTATTTGCTTGCACAAAGCAAGCGGTGCAGAACCAGGGTTCAAACCCCTACCGGCCAGCTCCCACCACCGGAGCCTTGCCTTGCACTTAACTGAATGTACCATTTGAGGAGCATGAATCGGTTCCTGCCGGCCGGCGCTGGGTAACCCTGCTACAGAGCCACAAAGTCAGAGATGCTCTCAAGCACCACAACTAACAAGGGAACTCAGGTTCAGACGCATGCTTATCGATGCACTAACACAACAGTACCACACAACGACGGCATGCCAGCCACAAGTTGCTGCAATTACCATGCCACAGTTGTTGGTTTTAGGCAGCAACCCAACCAAACAACCAAACAGAGGTGAGTCAGTCTACACCACGGATTGTATTCAAAACTTCAAGGCGCTATTCAGCCTTCGGTTATAGGACAAGAATGTTTCCTTATTCCATCATCAAATTGAAACTTGAAGATGCCCATCGGGGAGAGAGGTCGGAGGGACGAAGGCAACAGTTAACTTTATGCCAAATTCAAAACACATGTTTGTTCACACAACAAACATTCAGGATCCTTGCACAGCACAATGCCTCTGCACGCTGCGATAGCCAGCAGACCTGCGCGTCCAAAACGAAGCCAGCTGGTTAATAGGACTGACCAATGAACATGAGCTACTGGGCAAAAAAAGTGAAATCAACATGAGTTTCCGGACAGGCACTACTGCCATCAGGGAAACAAAGACATAGCAAAATTGTCCCACAGCCACAGGTAACATGGTATAACGACCACCTAATAGGATGATGAGGAGATTTTTATTCCCAGAATCATCTGACACGGCCCTATGGGCTAGGCATCAAAGGTAGTTATGCATTCACATGGGAGACAAGCAAACCAAAGGGTCCATATCATCAAAGCCACGATGACCAGCCAAAAGAGACTAGGTGCAGGTGTACTACTGTCATTATTATTATGTCGTTTGTTTCATGTCGTCGGTCACAGGCTGCAAATGGAATTATCAGACGACTGCAGAAAAGCTAACAAGACATGGTTTACAGTGGGAAGGTTGTGACCATATGATCCAGATCAGATCAAAAAGATTCCTTAAATATCACATCCGACGTGTTTCAAAAATCATGCATTGGATGCGCACAGAGTAAAACTGCAGGCTGACAGCAGCTATTGTTCACACGAGCACAGTTCCTATTCCCTGTCCCCTGGTTTCCACAACGATTGCTAATGTTAACCAGATCAGCAACTAACATCGTGCTGAGTTTGTATCCAGCCATAAGCAACACATGGAAAGCTAATAAAGAAATAGAACAAATAATTAGGTGTCACAGATGGAAATAAAAATTTACTGGCACTTATCCACTTAACAGGCCATATTATGCTTGTAACTGCAAACCCCATTGTAAAGTTTAACCAGTGGTTATCCTTTTCAGTGGAAATATCTGTGATCGGATACAATGCCCAAAAGCTTAAAAGTAAAATCTAAATTTCACTACAAGGTACCGTTTTCACTTCATTAAGGGGTTCCCCATCCTACAACTAGAGGAACAATTGCAAGATAGTCATGGCAAGCCCAATGGGCAACAGATGAACAGACCCGCCTGTAGCAGGCTAGCCCCCTAGGCTAATAAATTTATGTTGCTTACATAGGAACAGTGGATGTGGTAGCAGACCCAGGGTATGCCTAGCAAAAATATCTCATTTAATATGGTATATATAATTTGAACCCAGCAGAAGCTGACCCCAAGCAAGGATCAGGCGAGCGGAGGGATGGTCTGCAGACGGAAGTTGAACCTTTTTAGTTTGGACCTTAAAAATCTACCTAGTACTAATAATTTGGTCTAAATTTTAGGGTAGGCCTAGGCCTACGTGGCTTTTTAGTTTGGACCTTCAAATCTACCTAGTACTAATAAGGTCTAAATTTTAGGGTAGGCCTAGGCCTACGTGGCCTAAGACTGGGTCCGCCCATGGCGGTATATTGTATTCAAGGATCAGTTTGGTATTGCATTTTCCTGCTATAAAATAAACTCATAAGAACCAGATTAAATTGAAAGAACAGGGGTTTGTCGCAGAGTATTTAAGATCAAATGCTATAATGCACAAGCAGCGTGTTGAAGAGTTCAACTCTAAGGGTCTGGAAAATCTCTAACAATGAAGCTAAAAGGAGTTCTTTTGTTTCTTCATGTGGCATCCCCCGAAAACGAGTATATTACCCCCACCGACCAAAAGACCTAACATTCTGGAAAGTACTGCAAAAGTGCTAAGTGGTGGTACCATAAAAAAAATTGTGGTATGAAATGGCAACTCCATTTCATTTAATCGATATGACACCTCAATATGTTATAAAATGAAACTTGGGCAAGTTCCTTCGAATTCAACATTGCCTGCAGCAACCTGTAGATATAGTTGAGAAATATTCTGCTTATTGGCATAGGTAAACTATGACATGTTTACCGTACAGGTTTTGATTAAATTTGATGCTTCACTGCAATGATGTGCTTGGAATGACATGCCTGCATAGCTAAACTAAATTGCTAACTCTGTACATTGTCCGCTTTAATTGCACAAAGCTTCCGATATCAAAACTGGTTCAATAAACAAAAATCTAGGCCTTGCTAAACCACTGTTTCTTCCAGTGACCTGAGGAGCTACAAGCCAGAATAGAGTTCTAGTTCTAATATCACCAAACAGTAATCTAGAATCTGTAACCAATTTGAGGTGGTTTGGGAGCCCTAAAATTCAGGTCACAGGGCAGATATCATGAAGTTCCATTAAGCTTCCTACCAGATAGACTGATCTCTGAACATTTTAGCACTGTTGTGTACTCATGATACATGAACCTCACAAATCAAAATATAAAAACCTATGGACTATACAACAGCATAATGGTTGGAACTGCAGCTAGCACTGGGCAGCAAAAAAAATCTGGACTGGTATGAGATGTCCATGTATATCAGTGGCTTGATTTTCATGTCGCAAATTCTTAATATTCGCAGCAAGCTAGCATCATGCTCCCAGGAATCAAGAGTCACATTTCTGTGTTCACCCTACCTAAATTAGCTCTACAAGTGCTACTCGGCTACAGCAGCTCCTGAAAACCCTAACCATTCAGTCAGGAGCTTAGTCTGGAATGTCTACAAATTAACTATTGTCCACGCCATAGCTGACGGATCACCCGCCCAATGTCGCTTCCCCTGACAAAAGGGCGCACGATTCGCCACTCACCCAATCGGAATCCCTAAGGACCCGAGACAATATGTGGCCTTCACATCCAAATCACGAACTCAGTCACAGCAGCCGAGCTAAATCCCGAAGAAAAGAAATTCAAAACGGCGTGACGGAGTCGGAGCTCACCTAAATCAAACGGATCGGGCCGGGGCCGCATCAGGCGAGCTTTGCGGTGGCAGGGATGAGGCCAATGGAGGCGCCGCCCTTGACCTTGGCCTCCTGCGCCTCGCGGATCTTTTTGCATCTTGAGCATCCGCTCCATGACGAGCTCGTACTCGCACTTCTCGTAGGCGTGGCGCTCGGGCTCGCACTTCCAGGGGAGGTAGAACTCAGCGACGCGGCACTTGTTGAGCGGGATGAGGAGGTGCGCGCACTGATCGCGGTAGGCGAGCGGCACCCGGGCCTCCGCCATCTCCGCCTGCGTCGCGATCTGGGGCTTCGAGGAGCCGAGCTCCACGCCGGCCGCCGCCGCCGCCGCCTCCATCTGTCACTCTCTCTCTCGCCGGCGAGGTCGTCCCGTCGATGAATGGGTGAGGCGGGTTTGGTGTGGCTTGTGGACGGACGGGTGGTGACTGGTGACTGGATCTGGGGGCTTTGGGTATGGGCTGACTTGGGGCCTGCGGTGGCTTTTGGCCCTTGATTGTGCTGGAACGGCGGAGACGCATCAAACGGGTTTTGTTCCGGCCGGGCGTCTTTCCGTTTACATTTTTGACGTAGCATTATGTTATTATTATTATTAATTATTTCCTCTGTTCTGAATTATAATTTATTTGACTTTTTTGACTTCAAGTTTGACCGCTCGTCTTATTCAAAAGAATTATGCAAACATAGTCAAATTTAAATCATTTTTGAAGAACTTTTGTTAATAAAGCAAGCCACAGCAAAGCAAGTGATATTTAGCACAAATTTTTGAATAAGACGAATGGTCAAACTTATGGTAAAAAAAGTTAAACGAACTATAATTTGGAACGGATTTAGTATTACAGAACAGTTTATAAGAGACTAATATCATGACTCGCGAGGGTCGCTTTTGATTGGCGTAGCTAGGTTCCTTCTAGTTGGCATTATTAGGACAGTCTCAATGGAGTTTTATGAGAGTTTTAGGAACAGAGCTCTTGCATGGCAAGGTATGTCGCTCGCCATACCTTGAATTCCCAGAAAATTTTCCCCCCAAGACGCTCTATACCATGGATATATTAAGGGAGTTGAAGTTTCACTGTTATAAACTCTCAGCTAGCAGCTAGAGGAAGAAGAACAATAGCGACTGGACTATTACCTGGACGTTCTCTTGGGCTATTGACCTATTGCTGCTTTTGGGCTGCTACCTTATTTAATTGAATGACTTAACTTGTATCTTTCTATTTATTCTAAATATTTTTACTGATATAGTAGGTGACGATCATGATATGTTATATGTGTATAAACTAAGATACTGAGAAATCTTTGATATCTATGTTATCGATTTCGCCATACCTTAATTTTTTCCGTCCTCCACCACTAGAGAGTTTCATGAGCATTAGATAAGTTGATATGGCATTGTATTGATGTAGAGATATGTTAAAAGTGTGATGGGATGAAATTAGTTTCATTCTTATGAAACTCTATGAAACTTGTATATATTGTTTCTAACACATAGGAGTCCTGAGAACAATGAGATAAAACTTCTAATGAGACTGGCCTTAGATGCAAAGAAATACTTCTATTTTAAATTATACAAGTTATTTTAGATTTATTCTAAATCAAACGAGTCTAAGTGTCTAGCTTTGATCAACTTTATATTAATAAAATATATAATATCTAATAAATCGGTGTTAGAATATGTTTTACGGTATACCTATTGAAACTTGTTTGATGTTGTTGAGGCTGATAAATATTTTTTTCATAAACTAAATCAAAATAAAAATATCTACGATAAAGCTAAAATGACTAGTAGTTTAAAACGGAGAGAGTATCATTTTTCTCTAACAACCTTTATAACTTTTAGATAGAGTACAAAAAACAGCTAAAAATTGAAGGCACCCTTAATTTACCCTGTCCCGCTAACCCCGATAAATTTATATGCTTGCAACCAGATCAAATGTGTGTGTGCATAGAGTAACGGCAAGTGGATGCAAATAGATAAGGTTCTCTTTTATGCCACAAAAAGGCTTGAAACGCCACTCGCTTTGAAGTTGAGGTCTTGAGGAAGCTCAGATTGGTTTAGACGCCACTTGGCTTGCCACAAAGGCTTGAAACGCCCCTGCAGTGGTCTTGACTCTGATTAGAAAACATAAAAGTTGCCATCTCCTACTAACACGATAAATTGTTTTTTAACACTTCGGTTTAGATTAGCCAAGGTATATGTTTTTTAGGTAAGACGCGACAATAATAAATCCACACAATAAATTAGTGATTCTCATGTGAAATAAAAAAAATCAGAAAACAAGTCAATATATTGGAATCTCTCATGTAATCCAGGCCATATTTGGATACCCCTCTGATTATAACAATCAGATTATATAAACATGATTGATTGTATGATAGATTATTATAATCAAACCTTTTGATTACCATAATCCCATAATCTATGTGAAACTAGGTTATAGGGGATTATGGATGTTGAAAGTCCAGCTTGTCCCTAACTGATTATCCAACTTACCAAACTATAAAGGATAAAATATGAATTTATCACTTCAACCAAAAATAATCAATCGCCATAATCCATTGAGCCAAACACTCTAATTATTATAATCTATAATCCCAATTATAATAATTCTATGCATAATTCACATTATAATAATCGAGTCGTGATCTAAACATGCCCCTACATGAGAAATCGATATCAAACATGTTTATGCATTGCAAAGGAACAATAGCTTGTTGTGCGGTCGCCCGGATAACTCATGGCTCAGAGCTATATGCAATGATCATGACAAATGTTCTAATGTATCTTGAAATTGAACTCTACCATGGCTAGACATATGTTGTTTTAACTAGTACGAGCGTGTCTTATGAACCCGGATCACTGAAGGGACAGAGAGGCACGCGAGGGTGTTGTGGGAAGTAAAATATGTCAGGTGAAAGAATCATATCTGCTTCCAGTATTGGGTATATAGAGATATGGTAATATTCAAGATCTCCAGGTGGCAAGAAAAGATTGGGGTACACGTGAATATATGCATAAATTTTGTTAGGTATTGTGCACCGATTGTTTCAAGGGACTAACATTTGCTTTTCTATTTGTAGTTCATCTGTTAATGCCATATTATAGGAAGTTTATACACATGCACCACTGCATTGTATGCACCAATAAATCTGCAGACGTGTCGGGATGTAAATGGCGTGATTTAATCTTGTTTTGTTGATGACAACTCACATTCTCCACTAACATATTATATTAATAGTTGCTCAAGCAAGTTACATAGGAGTATTTAGGGTATTTCAACTGGTTCAAGAGCAACTTAATCAATATCCCTTGAAACAGTAAGACTCCCTCCATATTTTGGGGTGAACACGTCGAGGACCCTAGTTCGGGTATTAGAGATTGATGAACACAATGACATTTGGCTAATTTTGTTTTGCATGATCAATGGCAAAAATTAGTCATATTGAGGTCACTTGGTTTATTTATTGGCCTCAAATATTTAGATTGCACGTATGGCTTAAGGATATTCGTGAAGCATAAGGACACAAATCTAGTGGTGGGGGCATTTAGACTTAGTGTTAAGTCTTGTTTATCTTTGGTCACACTATTAAAGTTGGAGTCAATAGTACTTCGATGTACACGTGAGGATTACTTTGAGCAAAGTTGTTTTAGAGTTGTTGGATCAAATAGACGATAAGTTAAGGATCTTAGAAAAGTTGAATCAAACAAGATCAGACTTCAAATAGTTTCAAAAGTTGGGAATATAAAATCCGATTTTTTTATTTGAGAAATTAGACTTTTTGCAAGATGGACTTTTTGCTTTTTTATTTTAGCCAATTCAATTGGGGAGAAGTCCATCTAGCGGTCCTCAAGTATTGCACAAGTCCAATTTGTCTCCCTCTAGATGTGTCCAATTTTTTAAACCATTCGATTTACCCTTGAGCGGTTTTTAAAACGGTTTTGACTTATGTGGTCTTCACATAAGAGAGGTAACTTGGCCAAAAGGCCATTCATTCAGTTGCCTCATGTAGCGCGTAAATGACCTGCTATCCAGCAGTAGGAAGGGCCAAGTTGGCCCAAGAAGCTCACAAGTGGTAAGGGTCAAGTTGCCCCATGAAGCCCAGAGGTGGGCAAGGTTTGTCCTCTTTCGTCTTTTGTTTCTTTAATTTTCACTCAGGTCGAGCGATACAGTATACTACTTCAGAATTACATTAAAAATAGAATTTAGAAAAATTCAGATCGATGTTAGAAAAATTCTGAGAGCTTCTCGTAGTATTACATAATTGAAATTAGTTCCTTACAAAAACATATCGAAAATTTTTAATTTTTTTTACCAAACTTGTTTTGTGTACTGAACCAATGGACATGCGGCTGTCCAACACATGGACGAGTCCAAATATTCACCCAATAATGATGAACATGGTCATGTTCCTAAAGTTTAGGGGGACACTGCTCCTAAGGCGGCGACGGGGCTTCTCCAGTCAAGATTGAACTCGAGGAGGCGTTAGCAGCGATGATAGCGGCAGCTCCATCTGTTGTTGGCTTTTCGTGCTCCGGCCAACGGATCCATCTTCCCCCTGGTCGGTTCTGCTGGGGGAGGCCGGATCCAGTGAGATGGCGACCGCCCCTGGCCATTTCGGCCTGAGCAGCGGCTCAGGACGGCTCATCTACAGGCGTGCGCGAGGAGTTTCTGCTGTTGTGCGACAACGGCGTGATGGCTCAGCTCCGGCGATGGGCCGAAGCCCGATTCTGGCCCTATCGGTCTGGTGGCGGCTCAGAGGCCGCGCGCGGCGTGGTGACGCGTGTCGGCGGTGCGGACAGCCGCGCGAGCGACGTGGACTGCCGTGTGACGACGGCGCGGGTAGCGACGGCACTGCAGAGGAGAGGCTTGGAGGGCCGCATGATGCCAGAGCGGAGGGCCGACGAGTGGCGGGGATTGCTGCACACCAGTGCGTGGTCGTCGTAGGCACGGGGGCCTCGTGGTGGCGCGGCGTGGTGGCTGCGATGGCAGTTGTTGCAAGTTGGTGTGGTAGCATGACGTGATGCCCAGTCAGGCAGCGACTGTGCTGCTTTGATGGCGATGGCGGCCTCACTGGAGACTGGATTTGAGTCAAGGATGGTGGAGGCCATGTTGAGGACTCGAGGTGTGGGTGTTCATGCTTGCGGAAGGCTGTCTAGAGCGGGTGTTGGCACAGCGATTGGAGGGCAAGGCTTCTGCATGGCAGTTGAGGGCGATGGTTTAAGTGGGACCATGCGCCAATGGTGTCCGCGAAGTTGGCAAGGAAGCCTGCATGGGAGAAGATGGCCAACAGAGATGTGTTGCTAAAGTGGCATGCATGGTGTGGCGGTGAGCGATCCCG